AAAAAAAAAAAATCTTTCCTTCCGACAACACCCCCTTTAGGAAACATCGTCGACCTCGACGATTGCCATTTAATCAGAAAACTCATCCTCCGGATTGATTTCTCGGCATCGGGTCGTGCCTGGAATTCTCGGGCGATCGCTTCTTTCTGATATTCATTGTAGGCCTCCGATCCTTCATCAATGTACTCTTGATGAACCTGCATCCATCTAGTAGACATTGCGTTCAGAGCTTCATCAGTGTCAATTCTTTTCTGATCCTTTGACGTTGGCTCTGACCGGATCACTCCAAACCCTTCCCCAGTATCCAGACGACGATGATATTCCTCCTGAAGAGCCTGTCTTTCTGACTCATCTAGGCGAAATGCTGATGAACCTTCCATCAAGCGAAGCTTGTAATGAAGGTCGAAGAAATCTAACCTCATTACCCGTTCCTGGGCACGTTTTCTCTCTTGCTCCGGTGAGCTAGATAGAAGTCTAAATCGACGAACTTTCTTCGGAGGTGAATGCCTTGGGGAAGGTTCCGAATGATCTGACAGTATTATAACTGGAGGATCTGTAGGAGTGGAAGTTGGGAGTGACGATGGAGTTTGATTTCGGCTATCTTTGGGCCCAGTTTGCCTCGTCGGAGAGACATGTTCATTCTTCTTTTTTTTTTTCGGATGTCCCATAATTCGTATCTTGTCATCTGTAGCACCAGACTTTTGCCCACCCATTCGCTGACTGGGAGCATCTTCTTATTCTCTCTCTTTTTTCTTTCAGCGAACCTATACCCTTCACCCCCTTTAGGAATGATATTTTAGGTCCAACGGAGGTCGAACGACCGTTGTCCTGCGAGTAGCGCCATCGACATCGCTGTCCTCTCCACTCGGAACGGTGGTATTACCTCAGGTGGTGAGTCTGGTGGACGGTCAAAGTGGAAATTCTCATTTTCTCGGCGATGATAAAGACGAAGATCATCTAGATGGTACTTGCTAGTCCCATCGCCATATAGCCGACCCACCATGGCAGTGAGTCGACCGGGATTGATCTTGACCAGTTTTCTCGGTCCGAACCACTTGGGCTTCATCTTGTCTTTGCTGACCTTCTCACTTCTTAGATCCCGGACGAAAACCAGATCACCTTCTTGGAAGGCTTCCCTCCGTGAACTCGACTTTCGTCGCTCTTTTTCATCTGCCAAGGCATTCGTCAATGCGATTGCTTCCATGCCCTCCTGCCTTCGTTCTCCGCGATACATATCGAACAGTTGGACAAGATGATGAGGGACTGGATCCGTCATTTGCCAGTCTTCTGAGGTTGCGAGGTGAGCCATTCCCAGATTGTACCATTTCGATGTTGGATTGAACCCAAAAAGGAGCTCCGCCGGCGTGTATCCATGAACTCGAACCAGTCGGGTATTGATTGATGTCATTCCTTCTCGCAGAACTTTACTCCATTCTTTCAACCTATCCGGTTGTGCATGACAACCTTTCTTTAGGATTGATGCAACCAGCTGAACTGATCTCTCAGCCATCCCGACTGAGCTCGGATGGTACACCGGTGATGCACAACAATGTACCCCGTGTCGCGACCACATCCCCAGGACATTATCAGCAATGAAGTGAGGTCCATTGTTACTGTAAACATTGGCAGGCCAACCGAACACAGGTGAGAACACTCGTTCGAAGAAGTATTCCACTTCTTTTCCCCCAGCACCCTCAGTTGCCCATCCCCATACAAATCGGGAGAAATTATCAACCACCACCAGAACTTATCTCGCCCCTGTCTCACATTGTGGTTTAATTGGTCCGAGAAAGTCCATCCCGATCATATTGAGGGGTTCTAATTCCTGGATCCGACGGGTAGGTCCTGCCGTCGATTTACGGGGGAAGAATGGACAAGCGTCACATGTTCGGATCCAGTCTGCGACATCTGTGGCTCGTTTTGGCCAATATACTTGTCCAATCATTCGATCCACCGTGAGCGCCGCGGAGTAATGTCCTTGGTCATCATGAAAGGCTCGTAGAGCATCTCGAATCTCTGGTTCCAGAAGACAAGGAGTCCACATTCCTTTTTTCTCCCGGTATAGTATTGTCCCTGAATGCATTGGGTGGATCCTCATTCTCTTTGCTCTTCTTTGACTCATCCTCCGTTGCACCCTAGACATTTGTGATAGCGCAACCTTCTCGTCACGAAGAACCTCGATGATTCCTCGATACATTGGAGAGCGACGGAAAGGACCCCACGGATCGGCAATATCCCATTCATGCCACGGTCGTTGCATCAACGGTATTGGATGTGTCATTTCTTCGATATCCCCATCATCTACAGTGCATACTAAGTCAGGTACTCGATCTTTTGCTCTGGGTTTTATCGTCAACCGTGTCGGCATGCGGTTCAATCCGTCAGCTAGACTGATTTCCTTCCCATGATCCACATAGGTGCATGCACTGATCTGACCTGCCATTCTCTCGGAGATCAGCTCCACCAGCGATCCACCGTCTAGTAGCGTTCGAGGTATCTTTTTATCCCCGATCCATGCTTCCACAACCATTGGTGACGAACGTCCGTCATCCTCCAAGGCTTCAGAAGTAACCGCTGGAGCGCAGATCATCAATTGGTTAGTTCGATCGCTTCCTTCATATGCCTCGTCGGATACAAAGCTAACGGGATCGCGGATTTTAACTCGTCGGACTCTAAATCGTGGGGTGGCATCTTGTAGGAACCAGGCTGTCTCTCGTAGCACTTTGGCGATCGAGAACCGTTCCCCAGAACCAATCACTCGGATCGGCCCGGGCACCTTAGGAGGTTCCGATCCGGCTTGAACCTTCTCCCTTCGATACGTCTCGGTGACCGTTTCGTAGGATGGACGATTGCCAGTGGGGTCAATCGTTTGTTCGTGTGTCTGATATTCTCTCAGACTACTCGAAGGTCCAGGTGTGGCACTCCGTCTCATAGTGGATGGGGTGTCATTGATTCTGGTCCCTGGTTGAAAGACATCTACTGGTCGCACAACTTGAGAAGCTTGTTCCTCGGTAAGTCGCTGGACTCCTCGACTTATCTCTGATGTCCCCAACGAACGTGTTTCTCGAATCCTCTGACCAACACCGGACTCTTGTATGTGGCCCCGTTGTGGTTGCATCCCTCTCTGATTCTTCGATAGGGATTGGTTCGCTGCCATTACTGGTTCAGGATACACGGTCAACACACACATAACAGAAGACGAGGAAGATCCCTCCTGGGAGACATTCTCCACTCGCTCTCCCGGGGATATAATTCGGTTGGGTAGGACTGCATTCGCTGCCACCGTTTGGTTCGTTTTTATTTGAGGACAAGCGTTGGAGTAATGACCCCTTTCGTTGCAGTTCCAACATTCAATCTGACTGAGATCTAAGGGACGCCGTGGTCCCCGACCTTCCCCTTGGGTGGTTTCTTTTCCACGCCCGAAGGATGCCCCGGAGCCTGACCTTTGTTGATTCTGCTGGGTTTGTGTCCTTTCAAGCATTAGATGTTTTAACCCTTTCACCACTTCCGGCATCGTGTCTCGGATCACATCTTCGAACGACAATTCTTTCTTCTGCATAGGTTCGTCTCTGATAAATGGGTTATCAACCCCAGAGAAGGCGTCCACAATCAGTTTCCGAGCCGCAATATATCCCATCTCATTTTTCTGACGGAGGTGGAATAGGACCATATCACGCTTATGAATATCCTTCAGCCCTTGTACCACTTTCACTCCGAGATGTGCTTTCTCGGGCCCATACTGAGCGTGGAAATCATCCGCTCGTTCTAGGTATTCAGTGATAGTTTCATCACGAGCCTGTTTCATTCCGTCGTATTGAGTTTCCATTCGTGAGATTTTTGCCACCGGATCTTCCTCTGGAAGACGATATCTTTCAAGACAACTAGCTCGAAGCTTCGTCCAGTCCCTGCGAGTGTCCCGGTTGAGATGGTTATACCATGTATCAGCCCTACCACTGACATTCTGACGGAAGAGTAGACGGCAGTCTCGATCTTTCTTATCTTGTAGGATTCTCTCCTCGATGGCATTCGCTGCATCATCGCTACCGTTGGATTGTTTCCTAGCTGCTTTCAGTGTTGCAGTCTCACGGGCGTAATCTCTCTCCACAGCTGTTTCGATGTCTTCGATGAAATCCACTGGATCTTCGAAGCCGTCTTGAAGACCCTTAAAGGTCTTCACCCGGAAGGACGTCGGCATGACTCGATCCTCGTCCTCAGATTCGTCAGATGGATACGAGTGGACTTTTTGATGATTTGAGGTATGTTCTCGTTGATAACCGTGCCAAGCGCCCAACCACCCATCCTGGGTAGTTGGGCGCTTGGCACGGTTAGTCCTGGCCCGACGGCAATACTGACCGCCTCCGGGAGGCGGTCATTAAACTCCGTCCTAATTGCTATTTCATACATGATGATGAGAAGGACTATTCCCCCTAAAAAAAAAAATCTTTCCTTCCGACAGATGACATGTTGTAGAATGTCCTTACACGCATGCATGTGTATGTAACTATACAAAGTCCAAGGCACTCTTCTGAGAATATGATAATTTCGAGGTAGAAATAATATTATACCTATTAGGGCGATGACTGCAATTTTTTGGTTTGATACACTCATTTGAATCCATCACGCATTTCGAGAAAGTACATATAAATCATGCCCAGGAAAAGCATCAACTCTCATCGTATATTCCCTGCACGCCACAATAATAGCAAATCGAGCAGATCAAGTGCTCTTCTTAGCATTCTCACGCTCAGCCTTGCGGAGAGCACGCTTCCGAATGCTCTCGTGCATAGACTTGTTCTGCCCGAGAACAAGCTTGCCCATAGTCCCAGAGACATAAATCAAAAACCAAGCCATGATGCCATGACTCCAGTAGGGCGACGAGCTGTAAGCGTAGGTAGGCGAGCCACCACTGCGACCAATCTTCGAGAGAACGGAACGAACAAAAGCACGCGGGGTAGGAATAGAAGCCGAAGCACGACGGATCTTAGACATGGCAGATGTAATTAGGTAGGCCTGGACAAGTTCCACATCAATGCCGTAAGAGGCTAACTCGCCGCCAAGAGCCGTAGACCATTGCTGAAGGAAAGCCTTGCTACCGGAGTAGGTGGCGAGGAACGGAGTGGGCAGGAGACCGCCGAAGGAACCCATGGTCAGAATCAGACCGCGGCGGCGCTGGATCATGCCTGGAACGATAAGTTGAGTAACGCGCAGGGTGCCGGTGCAGTTGATGGTCACAATATCGGCTATCTCCGCGGCGGGGGTCTGCGCGAACGGAACGGGAATCGAGTGACTCAGGCCGACGTTGTTGACTAGGACGGACACGTCTAGATCGGACACTAGTTCGCCCAGCGCCTGGTAGTCGGCATCGGCGTTGCGTGAGAAATCCATTGCGAGTGTCTTAGTGTGCACCTGCGGGAACTGCTTGCTAATATCTTCTGACAGGGTTGCCAGCTTCGAAGCGGTTCGCGATACAAGCACAATGTTAAATTTTGACTGGGCCAATTGCAGCGCGAATTCCTTGCCCAGACCGTCTGAGGCGCCGGTTACCACAGCCCAGCTACCGGGGGGACCGAACGAGCGAAGCTATTCAATCATTCTAATTAGCTTCATCCCTTGAATGCTAATGGCCTGCATCTTGGACTTCATACCGGTTTGCCCGGAAGCACGAATAGACTCAGAAGCACCCGCACAAACGTCCAGACCTTGCAGGCAATGACCAGCCCACCAGTCGCCAGGAGGAACAGCGCTCCATAAGTAGGTAATCCCGGGGCAATATGGGCTGGCCATTTGGAAAGACACTCAATATGCTTTGAGAGATCCATAATGAGTTAACCGAACGTGAATAACAAGAGGTTACCAGAAGGGGGAAAAAAAGTTCAGCCGACCAATGTGAGGCGTTCAAGGTTGTTGGGGGAAGATCAACGCCAAGAGTCTCCTCAAACATCCTCGGCCTCTCAGATCACAAGAAAATCAACCCAAACTCCTTTCAAACCAAGACACTCGCTGAAAAATGGACCAATATCTCGCCTATCTCCCCCAGGCCGAAGGCTTTCTGCCCAAATGGTTGTTGTTCGTAAGTTCTGTTTCCAACACCCCTAATCCCATTGCCACTGCCACTCCGAACCCCTAGCTACCATTGCTTCTATAATCCAAACTAACCATCCACCTCTCTATATAGGTTTCAGTCATCTCCGCTCTTAACAGCCTGCAAGCCTACACTACGCCGGAATACACCTCCCTACTCTACAGTAATGGCAAGGTTCCTGCAACTTCGCTCTCCGGTCGCGTCTTCGGAACCTGGACCTTCCTCTCTGCAGTCATTCGCATGACCGCTGCATATAATATTACTAATCCTGTTGCGTACAACCTTGGGATGTGGACATACGGTATTGCACTGTCGCACTTTGTTGGCGAGCTCGTTGTCGGCAACGCCTCGCTCAAGGGTCGATTCTTGAATCCTTTGATCGTTGCGTCGGGTTCGCTGGCTTGGATGTTCACCCAGCGCGAGGCATACCTGGGTTAAACTCTTGCTTTTGGAAGAAAGGATGACTTCGGGGGACAGCTCGACGCAGTGCAACACATGGAACAGATAGCCATGGAGGAAATGAACATTGCCTGTTGGATCAAAACTATGTACAACTTAACGCTTCGACACCAAAGCTTTGCGCAGGAAGTGATATACACATATGCATATAGGAAGAAATAACTTCAACTCTGGTGGCCCCTGTCCAGACTTCATCTCTTTCTTTTCTCTTATTAATTTTTTCTTTCGTCTTTCTCTTTTTCTTTGCAACCCTGGAGACCTCACGAATCGATTTTCTTCCTGTACAACTCGCCACCGCAAGCCCGCAGCTTAGCCGCAGCTTGCTCGGGGGTGATATCACGTTGAGGCTCTGCCATAAGCTCATAGCCAACCAAGAACTTGCGCACGGTAGCGCTTCGCAGCAGAGGCGGATAGAAGTGCAAGTGCAGGTAAGATGCCTCAATCTCTTCCTCAGTACCATCAAGCGGAGCCTGGTGAATACCCATACTGTAAGGGAAGTGCGTCTCGAAGAGATTATCATAGCGACGGGTAGTCTCAGCAATCGCCTCAGCCAGAAGCATCTTATCGGCCTCTGACAAATCCACCAGCGCGCGCTTGTGATTGCGGCTGACAATCATTGTCTCAAAGGGCCACGTCGCCCACCACGGACAGACAACCAGGAACGCCTCGTTCTCAAACACAACGCGTTCCTGCTTGCGGCTCTCCAGTTCTGCATAGTCCTCCAGCAGATGGCTACCGCCGTGCTGCTGGCGGTACTTGATCAACTGATTCATTTCGGTGGCGGGCTCTTCCGGCATTGAGCTAGTCGTCCAAACCTGCCCGTGCGGGTGTGGGTTTGAGCACCCCATCGCCGCGCCTTTGTTCTCGAAGATCTGCATGTACCGGTACTGCTCCTTGGGCTTGGTGATGCTTGATGAGGGAGAGGTGGGTAGCAAAGTTTTGGCAGGCGCGTGTTTCGCTAGCGGCCACGTCGGGGACAAGTGTACTGTGTAGATTTCTGTCCAGGCATTGATCACGGGCATAATTTCGTGAGGCGCCAAGTCGGCAAGGGTCAGGTTATGCGCGGATGAGAAGGTGAGCACGTAGCACTTGCCGCTTACGGGCTCGGCTTTGAGGAACCGCGATTCGAGTTCTTCAACATGTGAGCTTGAGACTGGTGGTGCGGATGGGCTGGGCAGTTGGACGTACCATCCTGATATGAGGGCTCATAGGCCGCTTGTTCTTCCTTCACTGCACTGTAGTCGTTCACAAATACGAATGTGCTCTTATAATTGGGGTTGGTATCACCCTGGGCGCGCTTGTTCCCGGGACAAAGGTAGCATTTGGGGTCGTAGTTGGGCAGTGTAGTCTTAGAAGGGCTCTCCTGGGCTCCTCTAGATTATTATATGATTAGCTGAGTTTTTTCACAGTGTACATTTCTATTAAGACACTGCTCACTGCCAGGGCCGCTTGGTTCGGTGGGGAGAGACCAAGATAGAGGAGCCACGAAGGGGATTGTATCTCCGGTGGGAGATGTCGTCGAGCACATTTTCCATAGTGCTGTTAGATTGAAATGGCCACAAGAACCAGAGATAGTAGAAGAAGGAGAAGAAGAAGAGAAAGGAAAGAAAATCTCTGAAGTCAGTTGAAAAGGGTCTCGTGGTTGGACTTCTGGTGGGGAGGCGGGGTCTTCAGAGTAGGAAAGTGTCAGGTTACAGCTGTTAAGCGAGGCCAAGTGTGATACATATAAGGGTGAACAAGCGAATCTCGCCTAATGTGTTAATATAGTGACGCGACGTTAGACAAACAACATACATTGGTATACAACGTCTTGCCATCATCTCCGTCTGTGAGCCGGTACAGGAATCGGGATCCCGCAGTTTTCTGGGGAAACACACACACGATGGGGGGGGGGGGGACTATTTGACCTGAACTCCGCCAGAAGAGGTAGTTTATTTCCGCAACTAACCAATAAAAATCCTAATCCCTGGGTGTTGTTCCACATGGGTGCCTATGTGGGTTGGCAGTGGATTAGTCGTGGACTAGCTATGGACTAGCACAACAAAAAGCCGAAAAAGGAAATTCAAACCCGCTTTCGGGATGACGTCACTTATCGCTTATCGTTCGCATCGTTTTCTGTTGTACGTTGATGAACTTGCTCAACAGCAACACGCAACCTCATGTAGACTTGTTGTCTATCAATGATTTTGATTGACTCATCGGGCTATATTAGTTAGTATCCATGGTCTATCTTTCCAGGTTATGTCTTAATTATCATACGAACATCAACCACCACGAGACCGATTAACCCCGCGATGACCTCTCGTTGCCCAACGAGATATCTCAACAGACTACAGGCCATTTCTTGATGGTTTTCTCATTTTTTTGTCCAAACCAAATCCGACTTTTTAAGCTAGTCGCTTTTCCCGCTCACATCAGTCAACCTATGCTCCCGAGATGTTTGCAGGGTTTGCATACTCTCGGTGCCTGAGGCCGAATACTTAGCCTAAGCGCCGCTGAGCCGCTGCCTCAGGCACCGAGAGTATGCAAACCCTGCAAACATCTCGGGAGCACAATCCCAGTACTTTAGTCTAGCAAGTGCCTGTATGTTGTAGATAGTTTCTCTATTTCACCACGCATACAGAGATTTCCAGTTTTATCTACAATCTAATTTGTAGACAGCCTACCATCTCTCTCACACCGATTCTACGCCCTAGTCCTAAGAATCCTCCAATACCGCCAATTTCTCAGCATGCCACTCAAGGAATAAAAATAATTGCTGAAATGCTTCCACCTTAACTCAAAGCTCACTGAGCCACACGTCGTTTGCAAATACCTCGGTACAGATAGACTGAGTGAGTGTCATGGGCGTAGGTTCGTGCTATGAATACGTCGAAACCACCCACCAACTTGGTAGAGTGATGGAGCTATGCTCCCGCTTCAGTCCAGAGGTAAGCAACGATAAAAAAGAACAACGAGGGACAGTTAGTTTGAGGTTCGGTTTCTCGCCAGGTGGGATGCTTCTGTTGTCAGAGGTGGAGTTTATGCGGGCTGACATGAGTGCGGATCGAAAACACCATGGAGAGGATGCAGTAATTATGTTACCTTGGAAGGATACGATAATTTCTCACAGTTGTGTGCGGTGGCCAACCTAGTACAAGTTAGGCCGGGAACGTTGTTGCTGTTGAGCGTATTGACTACTGAGGATGGGATTGTTTGGCCGAAGAATTGATTGTGTGATCATAGTGGCAAGATGAAGAAACCCCATGGAACCGACTGCGAAGGGGGCTCTTAAATGGTGCGGATGTCTTCCGACGACGATCTAACGCGTGTGAATACGCGCAAGACTGTTGGGTTAAAAATGCACGTGCGGCCAAAGGTGTGGAATCTATCTCAGTGCTCGTAGAGGAAGATAATCGCACTGCCCTTGGGTTGGATATGAGGTCATTGTGCAAGCTCAGTCGCTGCTCCTGTGGAGAGGATCCTGTGTTGACATCTATTTCCTGTGTTTGC